AGTGGCATGACGAAATATAGATACATCTACTGTCTTTTTAAAATTTTTAATAATTTGCAGAAGTTTTAAAATCCTTGTTATATATTAATGAAAAGATTCTTTATTTTTCTTTCTTAATTGAACGAAGAAGTATTTACTCAATCTGCTCAGAGTAAATAATAAGTAAATGTAATGGTAATAATTTGAACTACACGTAGAGAACGCTTCACTGAATTAAATTTCCTAATAAACCGAATTGATAAAGTAAATAGAGGAATATAACTTTTCATAAATTCAATATTGACTGTAAAATTTGTTAAAAATCTGCAGTTACGTTGAACATCCTCTTTCCTTTTAATTAACTAATTAATTTTCTAACATAGCAGATCAATATTGCAGCGAATCTTACGGATAAATCCGTGGGTTTGAAACGTTTCAACCTTCTTACTTCGTTGGCATCGTTTGAACAATTTGTTAAGATGCATTAAAATTCTTTGACGATATTTTTCGCAGTAGCGTATGGCTAACCCTTCCGCTGCGGCGAATTTTAGTATAGTTGGGGCCACGATATAGCGAGGTCGTAAATTAAACTCTGAAGAATCGGCACCGATTGATGTTGCGGCACTCAAGGCCGTGTGTTGCAGTCTGTTTGAGGGTTCCAACAATAAACGAATGGTAGCATATGATTTGGTACTTCAAGTAGAAAATGGTATTTCATTTACAAATGGAAAATATGTTAATATTAAAGCTACACAATCCTTTTGCATTTTCTATCTGTATATAACACGAGCAGGTAAATGAAGATGTTAAAGACCTCAATAAGACCTTTACTTGTAACCGTACTTCCAAAAGCGGCTTTTCCCAGAAGAAAAAAGCCCTAAATTGTCCTAGCTGAACTCAATTTTCAGTAAATATATTAGAATCAGTTTGACTTTCGCTGGATAGAAGAATTCTTTGTACGGTCCTGACCATGGTTTCAAGTACTTATCTGCTCGTATTTCTGTCAATTTCGGGGTCCCGGCAGCTAAAACATGTTTACTTTGACGCCTAACCGATTTTACGACCTCGCTATATCGTGGCCCCGACTATACGTAACGTGTATGGCAGACAGAAGAATCTGCCGTTCTGGCTGTGTCGTTTTAAAATTTGGTTCGTTAAATTGAGTTGAAATGTGCAAAGGATGAAATTAAAGCGGAAGTGCTCCAAACTGTATGCGTTAGCAGCAACGAAAGGGTTAATTTCTTCTTAAACTGTGGGTAACTTGAAGGTCACGGTGAATTATCTGGTTAAGTATTAGGTCATCCCATAAGTTCGTGCCGAAAGCGAAAAATATTTTAATGAAAATTTTACGAAGAAAAAAAAAAAAAATTGTGGAATAAGAAGGGGCTTACATTTTTTTTTTTTCTTAATCAAATTTAAAGATTCGTCTGAAATATCGATCTAAATTACAAAATTCAACACGAACTTATGGGATGACCTAATACGCACCACGGTGCGTTTTGAAATGAATAGAAAACGTAACGATACTTTTTGCACAAAGAAAAGGTTTCGTTTCGTCTCGAATAAGCGATGAATAATTTCGAAAAGATCATAAAAATTTGATCGGCGGCTGTAAAAGGCACGAGCGGCAGTGAACCGTGCACGATTTCGCGAATTCATGCAAAATTCGTGACAATGACGACGATCGACGTCTGGTTACGGAGAAACAGGAGCGGCTCGAAGCCACGCCTCGGCGAGCCCAGATACACTTTAGAAAGGCGAGTCACTTGGTCGAGCAAAAACCTTTCCAACGCCCTTCACTTTTCGCGGGAAAAACGGAATCTCCGATGCGTTTCGCCGCGATGCCTCCGCCAATGTTACGAGCTATTGAATCGTTGCAATTTATCGCATTGTTTGCAACAGTCGCTCTATCCTAGATCTCGTTCGAGAAAACGCCGTTAAATTTCCAGTTAGAAATGCTCAGCTTCTTTCGACGATGAATAATTCTAGGGAGAACTTATCTCTCAATTGTCTAGAATTCATTAAGAAAAGAAAAAGAGTAATCGTCTTAATTAAGCAGTTCTGAATTAGAAAGGAGTCTCTAATCGTTGTGTTTTGTTTATCTGACCGATTTGCACGATTGGCAATCGCGGAATACCTGTTTCAAGGGGAAATTTCATTAGAAAGATATCGTGCCTGCGCGTTTGAAAAGGGCTTTTAACGGAAGCGAAAGTTTGCATTCCGAAGAGGTAAAACTTTGCAGAAATTTCGCGATGTAATGGAAAAAAGTTTTATCCGAAGGCTTTCCGATTTAATTTTCTAAAAATATCGCTATCCCGCGGCTCACGCGTCCGCTACCTTCAAAGGGTTCAATTACAGAGTGGAGCACGAGTACGAACTTCTTGAAAAGGGTGGAAAAAATATTCGGTCAAGTCGTTTGGCCCGTTTTTTTTTTTTCTTTTTTTTTGAAAATAGCCAAATCGCGAACGAAAATTATACTGTTCGCATACTGACGGATTGGCTGAGCTTATTTCAAAGAGGAGCTATTTCATTCATTTATATTTCACAACGTTGTTGCTATAAACGTTATTGAGATATGTAATCCTTTGAAAACAAACAGATTAATGGCATATACAGGGTGGACCAAAAGTCAGGTACTATTTTAACGAAAATGGTTCAATTCATATTTTTCTTTGCAGACCCTTAAGATGAACACAGAGGAGCGTGTAGCAATAATTATCTGGCGAATTAACTTTCAAAATTCAACGCACCGATGTCTTTGGGAGATTGCGCCTGTGTGCTGTTGCACAAAGTGACATGCATGAATTTCCATTAACGATTTGACTCACAGCATTTACGTTATTCGTCAATTTTTTTTTTTTATTTCATCGTGTAGGTACCGAACTCGTTCGTTTAAATTTCTTCACTAATTTACGTATCGTCTTATCTACTGGTCCTGCTTTCTTCGATTTCCCTTCAAATTTATTTCTAATTTCATTGCGTAGCAATAACTACAGCTACGTGCTGCTCTCTACTCATCTTAATGATCTACAAAAGAGAAAAGAAATCCAACGATTTTTCTTAAAATAGTACCCGACTTTTGGTCCACCCTGTGCACAGGTATGAAATATCGGCGCGAGAGAGGTGTCGGTAATCGATGAACACATCGAGAATATTCGTAATTCTTCATCTGACAATACGCATGAAAATCCTTGATTTGTTGTATCTGTGCACATTCCCAACTATGTATTTCGCGGCAATTTCGTCGTCGATTAAATATACTATGCCTTATAGCATCATTATTGATTGATCGGCTGTCAACGGCATTCGTGCGCGGAATTACGCTTCGCGGTGGATTTATACGGGTTGCGTGCCGTTATCGAAAACACTGATACGAATAGCATCGGTGTGTATCAACCACCTATACATATAGTTTTCAACGTAGAAGGGCATTGAGCAATGGAATTGGAATTGCTAGGCTCATCATACCACGGGAACGCGGAGAGATAGAGAAATGCGTAGAATTCTTCGAGTATTATAAATCGCTAAAGACATTTCCTTGTCATTGTACGCGCTATATCGAATTTCTACCCCTTTGATTGCAGTGCCACCTATATTTGAGCATCGCGTGAATACATTTAAGGGGAAAAAATGGAATTTTCTTTGCTGAAATCGATACTTCGCACTTTCGAAAATATGATCGAAATAGGTTTAACGTAAAATTTCGACGGTTTTGTGCCATTAGAGACGATCTAACGAGGCGCGTCATTTTGCCGTTGATCGGTAATCGAAACTTTAAACGCGTTTTTCACAGAATGACATTTTCGAAACCGATGTTGCCCATAATTTCTAAATTCTCATCCGATGCATTCGAAATTTTCGCAAAATACTTCCTGTTATACAATCTAAAGAATACATTGTGTAGGCAAAATTTAGGGTTTGGGGCGGCCCACGTGGTCGTCAGCCGCGCCGATCGGGACGGTGGCCAGGTTTATGGTGCCGATGTGACAGTAGGTAAGACGTGCCATGAATCTGGTCACCAGAAGTAAAGGACGGAAAGCGACGTTCCCGGGCGAAACGGTTTTTCCGCCAAAATCGCGATAGAAGGGGAACGTCGTAGGGGTACGTCCGAAAACAGCCCTAATTGGCGGAAAAAAGAAACGCCCTCGTCAAGGGAAGGTTTAAAAACGAATAGCGTGAGGAAAAATAGTGTGTGTGTAAAACGAACTTGGAGTGAGAAAAGTACATTGAAGGAGCGTGGCTGAGAATAGGACTCGTGTCCGTGAAGAATAAACTATTAGTTATTTGTTAGAAATAAACTGTCTCGTCTCTCGCCCAAACCTCTCTCCATCCCGGACTCACCCTACAATTGAAAAGTTTCTCTACTATTAATATTTTTATACTAAAATTTTAGAGAAAAAGTGTGATTTTTTCTTCGTATTTTCACCATTTCTATGAAACTCTTTCTATGAAAGTCTATGAAATTGTCCATCCTGAATAGAGGTTCGACGATGCGGCTGTAGCGTCGCCATTTTGCAAAGAGATTAAACGAAAAGATACTTGTACGTTCTTCAAGGAACGCCAAAGTTAGGTATCATTTTCAGGCCCTCGAGGCCAACCTTTCACAGGCGTAATAACGACATAAATAGAATTCATTTCTTAATTATACTCCTTGAATTGAACTGCTCAAAGACACACAGTTAACTAATCAAACTGTTCGTGTCTCTCGGCGTTCCAATAAGCCGAGGATTAATCTTCCTTGCAACTACCGTGGTACATGCCATATGCAATGTAATTTTCACCAGTGTATTTGTCCTTGAATCACGTATCCAGAGGGATAGTTAACAGTATCTTTCGTGTGACGCAAACCGGAGAAATTGAGGCTATAAATGCAGCATCGGTGTGCGGTACTACGGTATGAAATTTCCTCGTGGCATAACGGCGATGAGAAACTATTCCGGCGCATTGCGGAAGTGGAAAGGGCCCGTTCACGACCCTAGCTTGAATTGTAACACAATTGAGATGTAACTTCTGCCTTGCAGATTGAATATTGCCCCCGGCAGGATGGACGCTGAGACCGGGGCCATTTTGGCGCTACAAATATTGGCTCTCTGTTCGATAGTCGCCGCCCTGTTGGCCTATCTAATGCGGCAATCGAGAAATGCCAGCGACGAGTACGAGACCCGCAACAAACGACACGTTCTCGTAACTAGCTGCGATACCTGCGTAGGCTTGCAGATCGCCCTTGCACTCTACGAAGTTGGTTACAAGGTAATGATCCTCCCAGTTACCATCAAATAGTTTCCTTTCCTCTAGTAATCCTATCGTCACCACGTGTGTACAGGGTGTGGCGGAACGAACACATGGCACAACCGGACAGGAGATGATTCTACGTGCAAAAGTAAATCGAAAGTAAAGAGTAACGTTTGTTTTAATTTGAAACCTCGTTTTCGAAAGATACAGTTTGAATATCTGAGCAGGCGCGCACTTGACTATCTCCAGGCTTCGTGTTTGTACTAGTCGTATAAATAGGGTTGTACACACTGTGCATTAAATGCCTGCGGCCTATAAATATGTGTTAAAGGTGGTATTTCTTATCGACTAGACTGAACATATAAACATGCTTCAAGTTTGATCAAAAAATTTTTGATATTTTAAAAGTTGTAACCATTTTCGTAAAGCGATGCAACATAGTCGAAAACCTTGAAATGTGCCGGCTACACGCATCAGTTTTCGCATAAACCGCCTGGACCGTATAGTGCTAATGTCACGACAAGTAGGTACTGATAATACGTTGTTCGAAAGCCTGTATAATTCTTTCTTCGAGCTGCAGAAGATTTACATTACGTGACATTACCGTTGTTAATCAACATAAAAGTGTGAGCAGAAGCAGCAGTTTGCAAGAATATTTAAATTCAATTCTCTCGAAAACTAAGCTTTCTATGAAAAAATTGTATTCTTTATTTTCCGTTTATTTTTACACGTAGAATGACCGTGTGCCCGATTGTAACATAACACTATACTTTTCATCTTTTCTTTTCTGCAGATGTGGAATGATTAAAGGGACCGCTGTACTCAGTTTAATTGATTATTGAACAGGTGTTCGTGGGACTGTTGGATCCCTCCGGGAACTCTCCGACGGTGAAAATCTTGAGGGCGATAGAGCAGCAGAAAGAAAGGGAGGAGGAGGATCCAACGGATACGAGTCACGGGAACCCGCAGGAGCCGGAAGTACGTGCTCGCGGCAAAATCGTGCCATTGGAGCTGGACTCAACTAGGGAGGACAGTTTACGCGCTTGTTTGGACGCAGTTAGGGCGAAACTTCCGGCTGGCGAAGACGGCAAGCAATTGTCGATTTAATGCACACGCCGAACACGGCGAAGATTGAACGCGCTTCTCTGCTGCCCCTTATCCGCTCTATCTCTTGTTACTTCTCGCGTTCTCCATTTGCAAAATTCGTCCACGGAACAAACCGAATTCCTCCGACTACGCGGAGCTGGAGAAGAGAGCTTAAACTTCGGATTACGTCCCTTGAAAAATTCGAGGCCATTTAACGAATATTTCTCGAGTTACTTAATTAAAGAAAAATCCTGTTATCCCCGGGGGAGAACGTTAATTAAGTTTCGTTTCTGAAACTTCTCGCGCTCTCGACAATCAATAGCCGGAGATGAAGCTCCGGGAGATGAAGTTACGCTTGAATAGGTGTATAAGGTATCTCTACGCGTAAAAAAAAAAAGAACGATTTCTAGAGAAATTTTTCACGAGAAAGAGAAATTTCTCAGCTTGTAATATACACGCGAACGAATTGATACAATAAAGCCGCTGTTAGATTATTTCCAAAAGTTAATTACAAGGATCTAGCAAAGCTTCGTCGACAGGCGATGGATCGTCCAAACGAATGAGAACGATAACGTACGCGAGAGATCAGTAATTGTTTTTGCGATGATTCCTGCGAGTTGTTCGCCTGTGTATACCGGAGAGCAAGAGATCGCGATTAAGAGAAAACAGAGAACCGAATAGAGGTTCCAGACTTGCGGTAGCGGCAAAGGTTCCTGGACGTAAAATAGCTTCCGTGAAAATTGCTCGGTCTAAACGAACAATTCTGCGGGAGAGGCCACTAATAACTGATCGCCGGATGAAATGAATTTACCTTTATCGATTTGCATTGCTATCTCCTCCTTGCTACACCAACTATCGAGTTACTTTTATAAATTGCTTCCAGGTGCACGATAGAGAAAATAAACGAATGCTTCTTCTCTCGTGCCTTTCCTTTCGTTTGTTGTAATAAAATTCGCGGTAGAACAGATTTAATAATTCGCGTTACGAGAAGCTCCTTTGCGTGGAACATTTCCCAAAGTTTCTTCCTGCGCCGATTCGTTAAACGTCGCGAGCGACCCCACGCGCTTCTATCTTCGCCGTGTCATCCGAAAAGCGGCCGCTTAAAGTACACCGAAGTTTGAACTTTACTTAATTACAGGTCTCTGGGCAGTCGTGCACACCGGAGGCTTGGCTCTGCCCGGTGTTATAGAGAGACAACCGAGTTCTGCGTGGGAATCTATGTTGCGACACAATTTGGTCGCGCCGCTTAGAACCGCCAGAATGTTCATTCCTCTTTTGCGTCCTAAAAGAGGTCTGTTTCTGTGTGAAAATCTCCGACAAAGAGAGAGAAAAAGCTCTCCTGTTGCAAAGTTCATTGAAAAAAAAAAAAGAAACATAAATTGGCTATTTCAAAGGAAGTAATATCACGCAGCTAGCGGTATAGAGTGAAGAATGATTTTGCTTTGAAGGACGCATCGTTCTTTTGGGCGATTCGACGACGAGCTACGGTACCAAAGCTGGAACGGGACTGGTGGCGTTCAGTGCTTCGAGGAAGGCCGTGGAAGGAGCTGCAGAGGCATTAAAGAGTGAACTACAATCCTCCGGAGTCGACGTCGTTCTTCTTAAACCACCGCCCGTGAATCCTCTTATTCTTTATAGTTCACCCGTTCTCAAGACGTAAGGCCTAAAACATTATTTCACTGACGTTCTTCGTAAGATAGATGTGTTCGTGAGAGTGCTTACCAGAGAATTGTAACAAGTGTATTAGACGTACACTGCCGTTCATAAATATTAGGACGCCCTTTATATTCTTGTAGAAAGTATTGTACGACTGAAATTGTTATTTCTTCGCGAAAGTTAGTGTCACGTATTAACCCTCGGAAGGCGAATGGTTTTACAGACGAATGCAGGATCATTTTAACCCATAGCAAGATTTCTATTTTACACGGGTTTCAAGAAAGAACTGGGTATAAGTACAATATACTTTCAACTATGTGTATTTTCTAATCTGAGCCGCCTGACTTTATCGCTGTTGAGTCAAAATGACCCTGCATTCGTCGTACGAGGGTTAACACGTTAAGCGCCATGTCAGTCACCGGTGATTGACAATGTATTTTTCGTTCGGGCCGCGTCAGTCACTGTTGACTGACGATATGCAATTTAAAAAATTATATTCTATTAATAAATTTTAAATAATTTAGAGATCATAAAAGAACGTACCTAAATATTACTTGTTACCAAAAAATAATTTTAACGAGTATTATTAAAACACATGCAGTCTTATCGCAACCTTGCACAGATCTCTGGCCCTCAGCATACCGGTGGAATCGGATATCGCGGGATAAACGGAAAGGAAGACAAAACAGGCTTGGCGCTTGAAGTGTTAATAAAAATATACATATGTACTCGTTATACTTGCAGATTCTGGCATGAATAATTTTTTTTTAGGATCTTAACAATTTTGTCATATCTTTTGGGTGTCGAATAATTTTATACTAAACTTGTAGTGACAACGAGGCTTTCTTCATATCGAGCAAGTAGATTTTGGTAGAATTCAGTAAATTTTGGTAAAATTTAGTAGATTTTAGTTGCATCCAGCAGATTTCAGTAAATTTCAGCGAATTTTGATATACATCAACAAAGTTCTATAGATTTCACTAGAATTCGCTAAATTGTGTCCCGACACTTATGAACGAGAGTATACATACATACATAAGCTGACTCGAACGAAACATGAATCTTTCGATTAGCCTGCAAAATTTCAGATTTAAAACGAAAATGTTCTCAGATCTGATGTGGAGACTGGAATAGTATCTTCAGAGGGTACGTGGACCGCACCTCTGTCCACTCACGCTATTCAGAACTCGTTAGTCCCGGCACTCACGTCACCCTGCCCACGAGTCTCTTACGACATGGCCGCCAAGTCGAGATTCTTCTGCAGATGAACCATTGTTGCACATAAAATATAATTAGCGTTGTGTTAAGTGACACGTTGGTCAGAAATACGTACGTTTGTAAGACTAACGATTGTTAATATCGAGAAATATTTGTAACATCTTATAAAACTTCTTAGGCGTATTGATGATGCTCGAGAGGCTTGTGTTTCCACGATGTAAGTGTACAGTTTTGTAATTAATACGATGACAGGAAAGACTTGTAATTAACATCGAAGCGTTTTCTTTCTTCTTCTCTCCCTTCGAACACCGGTTTCAAACGAACCGACGGTTAGGGTAAGCTTTCGTCGTCTACAAACTACCCGCTAATTGTAAGATGGATGAAATTTCCCCGACAATGTAGCAAATTATACAGTCCCTGTTACATAGTTAACAATCATCAGAAACTGTCTATATTAGTTTCAGTTGCGATAGCACGATCCATCGCTAGTTTCCGCGGATAATTTGCAGACATCTGAATGAATTGTGAATTTGCCCCTAACTCACGTGTAATTCAAACAATACAGCTTAGTATTCGTGTAAACGATAAATATCGTTATCCGTTTCGTATCACGGTGAATTCCCCGTTAAACTTGATCTCGCAATTTGTAATCAAACACAGATTAACGTCGTCCGATATGACAAGTTTGTCCGTTTAAAGGCGAACTTGCGATATCCCTTTGAAACTGATAATTACGCAATTTCCGACGACGAAACGAAACGAAAGATTGGTCAATTGGCCGTGTTGCGTAAATCATTCAGCTATTACCGAACTACCGCTTAAAATATTCCACGGCTGGGTATTATCGCCACACAAAACCCTATTCTAATTAATCATCAGACCGTGCATAATCTTTATCCGATACTTTCGTACGGGAACAGGAAAGAAACGAATTAGAAAAACGAAGCTTCGTTTTTCACTCTTCCGCACGTATACATATATATATACGACCAGTTTTGCATAATCCTATATTACCCTGAAGAAACGTTACGTTAAGGGGCTACACCATTCTGATACGTCTAAGAAAAAAAGGAGAAATTAGGGAATTTTTTTCACAGGTAATTACTAAATGAAAAGCTACAATTTTTTCGGAATATGCAAACGTAACTTTCAGTTTTCTTCTATAATTTTTAGAAAGTAAAAATGTCACAAAATGGAGGAGTTATTGTGAAATTTCTTCCGCTGGAGTATCGATCGCCGTCCGCCATCGTCGGCAATAAGACATTCTTATTAATTTATAGATAAAACTATATTACCTACAGTGTAACGTACGATTTCTTTGATATACAGTCTGTTCCACAAAAGCGTGGACGCGATATTTTCGAAACTTGAGGTCAAATGAGGGAGAGATTGTGTTAGCATAAAAATATGAAGTTCCCTCTAATACGCATTAGCTTTAAATCTCTTAGTATCGTTTTTGTTACTGAGAAATACGGACCTTTTCGAGATGAGTACCGTGTACGCTAAACGTTTCGGGGCAGTCTTCTTGTGTTATCACTCGAAAGAACCAAAAATGTGCGTTAAAAATGCAGCAAAATATATGCATTAATCTCGTGAATTCGTTAATAAGTAGATACAACGATATAAAGAAACTGAATGTGTCGATGACCTCCCTGATCGAGATTCAAAGCGCGGTACCACGAAAAGGGAAGATAAAGTGATCTTCCGGCTATTTTCAAGGAATCCAACATTTTGCTTGCGTAAAGGGCAAGCTTGGTAAAAAGGGCATAATTATAGGGATTTTGACATTAAAACGTCGCTTGACAGAAAATAATGTTTAACGGAGCAGTACATTATCAAAACCGTTGCTTTCAAGGAAGCACGACGAAAGTCGGCTGGCGTGGGCACACGAAAAAGTTGATCGCGATTGGAGTGGTGTATTCAGCGATGAAGCATCTTTTTCGGCTTGAAGTATCAGATGTGCCTGGTCTGTTTATGAAAATCCAATTGTCCAAAGACGTGTTAAACATCCATTCGAGAAACATGGAGGTCTCTACCACTCTCATATACCAAGAAATTGGTCGAAAGTATACCCAGACGTTGTCAAGCAATGATCGCTAATGGTGGAGATTGGACACACTGTTAATTAAGTGCGTATTAGTTTATTAGACGTAGTTTCGATGTATATAAAAGTTTTTACAGAAAGAATTAATTTTCACAAAGATATCGCGTCCACGCTCTTGTGGAACAGACTGTAGGTACTAGTTATTTAATTTTTTAGAAATGTTTAAAGTTGACTCGTTTCTTGGTAAATATTCGTTCTTCCTCTTCAAACTGTCACTTCTACGACAATTTCAATTTTTGAACAATCGTAAGCTATATTGTAGCTCATTTATAAATCAAAAAGAATGTGTTATTTGGGACGTCCCAATCCTTGCCAGCTGAAAGTTACGTTTCCATCCTCGCACAAAAAGTTCAAACTTCTCGTTTAACAATACCTGTAAAAATCTTCAGACGTCTCAGGGTGGTCTACCCCACCTCGATGCAAACTCGACGCGATTCGTTAACAATCCGCCGGGACGATTCGTCAGAAAGGATTACATTACTCGTTAACAAGGTTCACCTCCCCGTTCATAATAATCATTGAATCAAAGAGAGACAGAGAGTGGAGGGGGAAGAAGGGGTGTTTGACTTTCCGACGAATCGATAGATTACAATTCACCCAGGAATGAATGTATCATGCGAGCGAGCGGCACGCGGAAATGCAATAAATTCAACAATAAACTGTATTGCCACGCTGGGATGCGGCCATTCAGCCGACATATTGACACACGTTCGCTCTATCGTCGAAAACGCGCAATTTATTGCTCATTAATCTCGACAGTCCAATTTACGTTGCCGATCGAATATATGATGGGGGCGAGGCGAAGGGGGATGGACAGGGGGTTTCTTTAATGGAATTGAGTGGAGGCAATGTGGGAATAATTGTAGCCCTATAATTTCAGAATTATCGCAGATTTCCGGGCATGATTAAAACTACTAAAGCATCGCGGTGCCCCACGGTGCTTCACTCGCGTGTAAAGCAGAGAGTGTTCGGATAATTGCTAGGCGCGAGTTCAAATTAAAATTCCCTGTTTGCTCGCGTAAATATCTCCACACACACGTACACCCTCTTCCCTTGTTACAACGAGAAGAATTTGCATGCGTTATCTAACTGATTCGATTCGGTTCGATCACGGTGTACAGATTGAATTTCTGAACGCGAGATTTTGTAACAGGAAGCCGGAGAATCTGTGTTGCAATTGATTTTTGTCAATCTTTTGCATCACGGTGCACACGATATCGATGCCAACCGGTGTCTGGCTATGGCGTAAACTGGAGCTGTAACCGTCTGTCTTTGAAGAAATCATCGGTCGAATGAACAGTGCCGGCGAGCCATACCTCTCACTCTATCGGAATCACCGGGACAACAATCGGTGACAAACAAATTAATGCTTTAACGAGTCCTTTCTTTCGCTCTCGAAACGCTCCTATAAAAGAGAATTTTCGCGACACGGTAAACATAGTCCATCGGCGGTCCTTCGAACGTGAAAACATGGCGCTGATGCAGGTGCGGTGTATATCAAAATTTTCTTTCGTTTCGTTATCCTTATCTACGCGCTCCTCGAGTTTTCACTCGTCTCCGTCTTTACTTTTACCCTTATAATACGAATTTGTCGGAAATTAACGACCAGGCGTACGATTTTGCTACACGAAGAAACGACGGTCGACGATTATCGCGAAAGAAATCGTTCTCGACTATCGAGGACCGGCTCGATCGACAGAGATTCGGCGACAAACAATTAAGCAAGGATTACATCGCGTAGAACTCGGACGTTTCGCCGAACGCTTCCCCGCCCGAGTTTAATGCCATCGATCGTTCCAATTTCAAGTCGGCCACCGGTGTTATTGGTTAAAGAGCGGGGCCACCTTTTTGGTGAAACTGGGATCACGGGATCCACGGCGAAGTATTACAAAGTCGTGACCGTAAAATAAGACCACGGCTTGTTCTGGAGATCTTTATGCGACTGGCGAGTCTGTTTCGCTTATCGCCCGTGCAAGGAATAATGGCCCCCCTTTCGCGATTTTCTGCAAGCGACCTCGCCTGATTAAAATGAATTTCCAACGTGCCTTTCGATTTTTACCATTTAATCCTCGCCATATTTTAGCCACGCCTTTCCTCCCTTCAGTTACACTCCCTGTATCAAAGGCTAGCTGTTTCTTTTTTTCTTTCTTCTTTCAGAAATTAATCATTTTCGCCTTCGTCTGTATCGCAGCGACCAGCGCCTATCCAAAACTGTATCACGACGGTACGATAACTGGTGAAACTAATTTTAATCGTACGAAATAGCACAGATATTATTTATTATACGATATCAATAATCAATTGATACCAGTACGATATTAACAATTAATTTACAGATGACGAAGACACTGGTAGTTTAGACAGAGCTGGACACGGAGGTGGTGGCCACGGACACGCTCATTCCTTCCATCACTTTTCCGGGCCGGTAGAAGGACACCACGAAGAAATCACCTGGAAGGACAAACACGGCCACCATTACCATGATTACAAAGCTCATCCAAAGTACAAGTTCGCTTACGGCGTGGACGACAAACACACGAAAGACTATCACGGACAGAAGGAGCATAGAGACGGTACGCATTGAATCGGGGAACATTGATCGAGTACCGGCAAGAAAGTCTACCGAGACTCGATTTCGTGTTCTTAATTAGAATCTCGAACTAATTGGACGGCCAGCCTTGCTCTTAATTAGAACTATAGCGGCAGGTTTGTCCGTCGAGGAGCTTCTGGCACGATAGTTGTACGATTTAGTTTTTTCCCCGAACAATCTTAAGTGTCGAAACGTTTCTCGGTATCGGGAGTGTACTTAGAAGAGACTGTTGTGAATTTCAGGGAAAGAACTCGAGGGAGAGTACCATATTCACGAACCTGGTGGCAACGTGAGAACCGTCAAGTACCATTCCGATCCACACGGCGGTTTCTTCGCGGAGGTTCATAATTCCGGTGGAAATGATCACTCTGGCGGCACTTACGGCGGACATAAGCACAGATAAATGTATCGATATTGTCTAATTATTGTTATCGTTGATGTTATTATTATATATTCATGTTGTCACCGAGTGTTATCGAATATCAAGCACGAGATATATTAAACGACTGTGTCAGATGTTAAACGTGTTGTGAGTTAATTGGCAAGAAGCATTAAATCTCGGTTGTTCAAAGTGGCCTGTAACTATGTTAGTTAGGTTACAAGAAGCAAGAATCAAGGTCGAAAGTGCCGTAAAGAGATCGCTGGTTCGCTTCGTTACTGGACCCACCCCCCTTTGCCAATTTCTCCTACCAATTTCCATCCGGCAGTAATTGTATTGCGCATACGCTTGGAGAATTTCCGGTAAGTTTGCGCAACGGATGATATTGAGTAGACGTCGTTAAAGCGGCAGACACCAACTTCCTGGTTGGCTGAAGGCTCGCTTTGAGAACTGGGACAATAAAGATGCACGAGCCGTTTCCTTTCTCTCACCGTAGGACATCGGAGCAATTAAAACAAAATATGCATCGCCTACGAATATTTCTCGGGGAACGAAAATTTTTCGCAAGACAAATAGAGAAAGCAGCAACTTCTTTAATTAATTAGCCAAACTTGCCCAAGTTTTCCTCGAAGCTGTTACCCATCCGGACGTAATTAGAAGCGAAAGGTTCGCGGGGCAGGTAGCGAGGATAAAATTTCACGGGGAACTTAACCGAGAGCTACGTTATTCTGCCTCCGAAAATATACGATACACGCGATCCTCCAGTTGCTGCAACGGCAAGCGCTAGTTTCGCGAACAGCTCGTACCTGTTCGCGCATCGGCGATTCTCGCGACGATCAGATGCCACTCGAAGCTCGTTAAAATAATTAGCATGCAGAACTCGCCCCGTCATACCTATCCTTTGCGCATCGTCTGTGAAATCATTTCGACTTGAATTAATTGTAAGTCCGTTCTACCAGCTGAATGCACTAAACTGGAAAGAACCGCGAGCATTCCTCCGTTCCAATGATTTACGGTAACGATAGGAAAAGATTCCAAGGTGAACGTTCTTTTTAACACGTTTCAACGCAAGTTTGACTGAGAAGTTTAGAAACTGAGACAATTGAAGTATTAACACTTTCGAGTCGGGAGGCGACTAAAAAGCGACATTACTGTTTACCACTTGGTAAATAATGAACGGAGACACCGTTAACCCCTTAACTTATGACAACGTGTCAGACTCGTGACAGCGATTCTGGCGAAGATGTGACAGAAATAGTTGTATTAGCAAGAAAAATTAATAATAATCCTAATTGTCGTTTAAATTTGTAGGACCGAGGATTGCTAAATGTAATTAGTCTGTGACAGGTTACCTGATACAGTACTAAAACAGAAAATGGCTGACGCTTAGATGCATAGTCGAAAAAGAAATCATAGGTTAAGGGGTTAAAGATGATATTTTCCAGGACAGCAAGTCTATGGACCTCTAGAAATTGTTCACCATAAGTTAGTGAAATGGTTCTAACGAAGTATTACAAGGTCTTGCATAACAAAAATACATCATATATTGAAGTAAAATAGTTAAATTCGTTAATATATGTATAGTTTATTTCTATGTTAGTTTGACAAAATTTCGTTAATTTTCTTTCAGCAAACAAGCTCCGATTTGCTATTTGCTTGTGGAAAAAAGGCCTTCGAGCGCAAAGGGTTAATAATAATAAACTCGGCAGTAAAATCGAATCATCCGGTAATGAACGTGTTAATACATTCTTGAACGTTTAACTCATTGTATTATTAAGTATAATATTAACGCATAAAGTATGGTTTATTATCGTTCATAATTTATCGCTGTATAATATCTGAAGGGAAAAATTCCTATTGTAAGGAAATTGGAACAATTTGACCGAAAATCAAGTCACAAATTCTTTTTCCTCTGTTATTAACCCTTTGGATTCCTTCGTCAAGTGTGACTCGACATCAGTTTTATTCACAGGTATGAACGAAGTAATTTTTAAATTGCCAGTTTAAATGTGTATTATATTTTGCAATATTTTTTTTACCTGGATGAGCAATAGGTACACATTATATCACCCTTAATGCTATTTTCAATGCAATTAGTAAAGGAAATCCTATCAACCAAATGTCTTTTGAAGTGCATTTTAAATAAAATTCTTAAAATAATAGGGAGTTATTGAAAAGAAAATTGAAAAGGGTTAAAAAATAAGTGCAATTCTACAGGGTGGCCACTGAAAGACTGAATGATATAAAACAAAAATAACTTTTACAAACACATGTTTTTAAAATTTTTTATTATTTTATTTGGAAATATAATTAATGAATTTTTTTCAGTAATATCTGTGAAAAATAACATCCCTCAAATGACCACCACTTCCCTTCTCACACATACAGGCTCTTTCCACAGCATTTTCCATGACCGTACGCAAGGTTTCAGGTCCTAAACGTCGGATTTCGGCTCGAATGTTCTCCTCAAGTTCTCGAATTGTTCGAGAGAAGTGTTCTGAGGCTAAACAAATTCAGCATTTTTTTTTTCGGTATTTTCTCTGCGTTTGAATAATTGATCTTTCACTGGAACAGAAAAACTCAATGAGTTTTACTCGTTGCTGGACATCATACGTAGCCATTTCAACAAATAAGGAAAATAAAACAGATTGAAAATGAACAAATTATGACTTTTTCAAACCCTTCAGTCTTTCACTGGCCACCCTGTAAAATTGTACCAAAATAAGAAATATCTTTTCCTCTAGTATGTAGTGTTTATTTAATCGAATTGGCACGCTTAATTCCAAATTCGTGAAAAGATGGATACATTCAGGAGGAGGCGGAGAAACTCGCAAGAGAGGATCACCGATAAGGGCTGCAGGCGACGCGATGCAAGCTCCTTTCGCGCTTCCTCGACATACATACGTACACGTGTACCTGTATCCCTCTGACGAGGAAAGGTTGTTTCACGCACCTGACTCGTAATCCATCCGTTTACTTCAGTAACGACTGTATCGATCCGACGCTGCGCGTTGCAACGCGCACTCGTACGCGGAACGGATATGCGTCATTTGTGCGTGAGCGTGTGCAGGGAGTAGGTTGATAGGCTGAAAATGAATTCCTGGCTGGAGCGTTCGTTTTCACGGGCCCCGCGGTCGTTTATTGAAATATTTACACTGCACACAGGTGATCACGAGTAACGCTGTCAAAACAGAAGCATTTGCGATTGTTTTCGTCATAACCGAACGAAATATTATTCTTTAATTAATTGAACGAGCAGTATTTTGCGAACGTTATTTCCACTTTTTCTTTCTTTTTTTTTTTCGAAAGTTTCGTCCAAGAGGTGGCTCTTCGTGAGAAACAAAACCACGTTGAACGCCGTTGTAAGGAGTTTGTAAAGTTACACAAATATGTAAATTTTGGCCACGTTGACCCAATATCGTATGTTCACAAAAAAACGGGTACGAAAGGATAAAACTCGGTGCATTTAATTATTGTTCAATATTGCAACGATTTGTTAAACTGGTACAATATTGAAAATTATACGGAATATTGTCGGATTGCCCTTGCCGCTCCTCGGCGGTGCGATGTAACGTTTTCATTTCACGTTCGACCACTTCGAAGTATTTGTTCACGCGGTTCGCGACGTGTTGAACCAGCGGGATTCCCTTACGAACTCTTATGCAGGTAAGGGATAATTAACTGAGAATGGGTTGGATTTTGTAACACTCAATTATTATTTGCAAACATTAGTGAAATCTAAACTATCTTAAAACTAGGAGTCTTTATTAATGCAAGTGTTCTTGTGTAGTGAGCCAAGTTTGTGTTGTTACTGATTCGAGGTTCGTTGGTTGTCCTTCACCTTACCTCGGATAAGGCGTGTCTTAGGGTTTGAGACATGCGGATTGGTGAATGTCATTAGTCGGAAGTAGCGAGGGTGGTGGTTGATATTTTGACTGATAGGTTAGAAAAAATGCGGAAGGAGAAACAAAATAGCCACCCCCAAGCAAACCGTCACTCTCAGGTAGAACACGTGCTCCCTGGGTGACCGTCGCGAAAATCCGCTTGCCTCGAAACCCGGAACGGTACAGGTAATAAACTTATGAAGCACTCTGAGGTGAACAATACATGAAAGAAACAAAGTAAAAATTCTAAACCTCGGTCATCGGTGAAAAAACAGGGACTTATAAGGAATGCGATGGAGAATCAATGGCTTCATAAAGTTATTGTCTCTACCGACGGGTCAGGATTTGGAGAAATATTTGAACGATGTAAAATTTAGAAATCCTGACCCGGTTTATGGAGGGCTCTTTCCCCTTGGGGTAGTGCAGGTATGTGCCGCGTAACAGATACATCATTTCAGTGTTCAGCTGTTGTAAAAATTAAATTTTCTCATGTATCGTACTCAACTACCATCCAATGAGACCATTTGAAAGAAGTGAAACTAAAGTACAAACATACAAAAAGGAGCAAACAAAACAGAGCAGAAGAATAGCAGAAAAGAAAAAATGACATGCTCGGAAGAAGCCACTTATTACGGGTCAGAATAAAGTCGTGCCTTTCTGTCGTGATAAAGAACGATTCTACGAAGAGAAGAGTTGTATGGCGCAAGGGGTGAGTTAATATTAAAAGCAACAAGCAACGAATAGTTGCGGTTGCGGAAGGCAAGCCAGGGTTTTCCTAAGTTATTGTTGTGACCGCCGCTATTCTGTGCTCTTCTGTTCGTCGTTTTTCTACCCTCTTTTGACTTGCTTTGTTAAATTAAATTTTGTCCGACGCGCGGAATGTCGACGAACTCGCTTCGTACGTTTCCGTAAAATTATGCAAAAACTGGTTCTCTGCCACCTTTGTTGGTGTTCGTGTCGCGAATTTGGGAAAGAGGGAGCCATTTCTTCAGTTTCTTTCAAGAATCCTTCACCTTACCTCGGATAAGGCGTGTCTTAGGGTTTGAGACATGCGGATTGGTGAATGTCATTAGTCGGAAGTAGCGAGGGTGGTGGTTGATATTTTAACTGATCTAACCTATCGGTTAGAAAAAATGCGGAAGGAGAAACAAAATAGCCACCCCCAAGCAAACCGTCACTCTCAGGTAGAACACGTGCTCCCTGGGTGACCGTCGCGAAAATCCGCTTGCCTCGAAACCCGGAACGGTACAGGTAATAAACTTATGAAGCACTCTGAGGTGAACAATACATGAAAGAAACAAAGTAAAATTCTAAACCTCGGTCATCGGTGAAAAAACAGGGACTTATAAGGAATGCGATGGAGAATCAATGGCTTCATAAAGTTATTGTCTCTACCGACGGGTCAGGATTTGGAGAAATATTTGAACGATGTAAAATTTAGAAATCCTGACCCGGTTTATGGAGGTCTCTTTCCCCTTGGGGTAGTGTAGGTATGTGCCGCGTAACAGTATTACATGAGCGTGACATAATATCGGTAAAGGAATGCTGTTTAAACTTTCCTCAGAATCTGAGCTTTCTTTATCTATTTCTGTCTCTGTTGCATAATCTTCTTCTATGTCAACAACATCGTCAAAAATATCTTCACCGTGCTGTAAAGCTTGCTATTTACATAACAATATAGATATTTATGTAATACAATTGAATTTATCATCACCTTTTTCAGCCCTTATCAGGTCAAGGTGAGTCCAATGGACACACGCCTTAGTTTTTTTTTTAATATTTCGAACAGTATTTGAGAAATCCAAAATTCCATTTATAAATTCTTTTACTGTATCAATTGAATTAAAACGATTATAATATGATTACAGGTAGATAAATAAACAGTGTATAATAAATAATATAACAGTGTATAATACATAGGATAGTAAAACGCGTTAAAAATTTTTTCAAATTACATAAATAAACAGTAAGGGTCCATCAGTCTCTATGAGTCTTATGTAATTAATTTAATCCTGAATATAGCCTAACAAACAAGGTTTCAAAGAGAAAATTTATCCTAAAGGCAAACTATACCAAACTTTTACCAAAATCGTGCGTTGACACTCATATATTCCAACAGTCTCCGATTGTATATCTACGTTACATACGTAAATAGACTGTACGAATAAGGGTTAAACCGCGATTTCCTAGTCAAAGGGGAAACCATTAGAAGACCATCTTTCTCGTACTGCAGAGATTGTTCCAGCGTGACTTTTTGACGAGTCACTTCAGTTAGATTTCCTAGCCTCATCTCACAGTTATTAATGACGATGTCATTTTACAGACGACTGTGTGTGGGTCTGAGGTTTTGAAACGAAACTTTTTAATCTCGACGGATGAATAGGTAAAAAAGCTCGAATGAATAAACTTTCCGTCTCGCTTTGAAATTTCGAACCTGATTAAGCCTTGACACAAAGGACCACTTGGAAAAAGAGAAAAAAAGCAAAACGAACGCTACGAAAGTTCGAAGCATTTGAGGAATTCTTTAAAAAAATTGTTTCTCGTAAAAAGCTCCCGCGATTCGCGAACGCAGGTGAACGCTGCGAAAAAGAAAAAAATACAACGCAGTCACACACTGCGCGGGTTTATTTTCTAATTAAAAGAAAAGATACAAGCATAAAAAATATATGATAGAACGCATGAAAAGCTTGGCCGGCCGAATAAATTTCAATTTGTTGCTTCAATTTTTTATTCGACGTGCCGTACAAAATCTAATATTTATTATATCCATCGACAAACGAACAACGCGCAACGTACAAAACAGTCGGATGTAATTCGAAAGAAGAAGTTCTCTGTGTTTGATTTACAAATGGTTCATCACCGCGAGATTTCGCGCGAACCTTTTTCCCTCCGTACTGTGATACACACCGTGGTACACACCGAACAAACAACGACAGCAAAAGAACTCTTCCGTGTCAGAATCAATAGAGCGGAATCAATCGCCATTTTGGTGAAACGCTCCGGGATCCATATACGTGGAAGTATTGTCGTTGTGCCGAAGCGTTGAAGAAACGCGAGATTTTCTGTGTAGAAAACAGGCTGATTAGTAACCCGGTTTTTCTACAGCGGCGTAACAAGCATGCCGCATATTTTACACTTTTAAATTCTATTTGCCAAAAACCATGCCTGTCCGCTGGTATATAAGCGTTACGAACCTCTGCCGAACTATCATTCAATCACGATCTCTTCCACTTCGACGACATGGTGATCAAGGTATGCGTAGAATTATTTATATTGTAAAAATTTCATGTTACTATTTCGACTTTGCGCGAAAGTACGTACTTAACACTGGACTTTTAGTTTCGCCGACAAAACGAGACTTTTGCATATTAACGCGTTTCATCTTAGCTGCTGTACAAGCACGGACAAAGGAAAAGTTAGGACCAAGTTCGGGAAGGAGAGCTCTCGTCCAGGCCAGTGATCAATGTTTTATGAGACACGAAAGAATAAACGCCGGGAAATTTAGAATTTAACCGCTTCGCGTCTGCGGACGAGACATCTCGCGACACAATGTCTTTCATACGACGCTTCGGACGAGGTATCTCGCATGTCTTTTCATTAGAACGCGAGATATCTCGTCTAAAGCGACATACGAAGGACTTCGCGTCGCGAGATATCTCGCCCGCGGATGTGAAGGGGTTAAACGGGAGGTTCGGTCACTTGAAAATTCAGAAAAAGCTTGGAACTTTACGGAAATGTAGTTCAATTGTCGCTAATAACGGGAGCATTTTTTGTTTCCGCGATTAAACGATTCTAATGGTGAAAAGAGCCCCACGAAAGAATTGCGAGTTTCTATATTATCGTGGATATTTAGGAAAACGTACAAGATACGGAAGAAAAGTGAAATTCAGAGTTTCTTCAAAATTCATCTTCACCATCTGTACTTTTCTGAAAACAGATATGTTTATTTTCTATATTTTAGAAATCTAGAAACCCTCTTCTTTGACTTACAATATACCATTTTCATTATTATGTTATTATAATTGTATACCATTTGATGTCCTACATTGTGGTGGCAAGGAATTTTCGGAAAATGTTATTTTCTTCAAAATTTACCTCCACCACTCTTAATTTTTTCAAAACAATATTTTTGGACTATCTATATTTTAGATACTTGGAAACCCGTCTCTCTTAGGATTGCACTGTACCATTTTCATTATTATACATATTATTATAATATACTATTTGACGTTCTACATTGTAATGGTAAAGAATTTTCGAGAAACGTTATTTTCTTCAAAATTTACCTCCACAATCCGTAATTTTTTGAAAAGAGGTGATTTTAAATTTTCTATATTTAAAACATTTAGAAACCCTTCTTCCTTCGACTTACGCTACACGATTTTCAGTTTGCTCTAATTTGGGCCGTGGTGGCGATTGCCGCGGTGCAACATGCATATGCAGGACATGCTCATAGTTTTGCCCATTACCATGGCCCTGTGGAAGGACCAGCAGAAGAAGTGTCTGTGCACGGCAAACACGGCCACCATCACATCGGCTACGTGGCTTATCCAAAATACGAATTTTCGTATGGAGTGGATGACCACCATACCGGAGACCATCACGGTCAAACAGAGCACAGAAATGGTAAGTGGATTGAGAAGAATAAAAGGTTATCCTATTCCATAAATTTGCCCGTACATTCGGTCTTCTTATTTTCATCGTAATAAGTGTGCACGTTTATCGCCGACATGCAGGTACGCTGTAGTGGAAGAAAGTAAATTGTAGGTGTAGATATAAATTCTGCTCAACAGGTTGATATATTACATCCTCGCAAGATCATACACTTTTTGCAATGTATAATGCACGTACGCTCATTTTTATTTGTTTATGAAAATTTATATTACCCGTGAATCTAACTTATAAATTATACGTTATCCCCGGTGAAAAATATTTCCATAGAATCGCGCGGTTCCGATATAAATGGTACATACCTACGAAATAGAACAGGAGAAATGGTATATCACGTTGGCTCATTAGCAAAGTAGCTAGAGTCTCGGTTTCCTGCACAAAATTTTCCCGAGTTCTCGAATTCCGGATTACACTCGCGAATTTTCCTCGGATTTTCCAAGACGAGGGTAACAGGAAAATTTCACGGAAAAATCGTAGAATAAAGCGCATCCGCGCGATGCTCTTTAAAATGTTCGAATCTCCTCCAAGCATTTCTTTCAACGTTGGAAGCGGTGTGTTTCATTAGTCCCGAAATGGAAGTTGCTGAAAAACGCGTAGTAAAACCAGGAGGGGCAGGATACTTTCTCAAATGTAGTACCAAAAAGAGCGAGAGAGAGACATGATCAAGTAATAGGAGAGTGGTTTTTTTCTTTTTTTTTTCACTTAGGAAAAAACGTAGCCGGTGAATACACCGTTAAGGAACCAGGCGGTAACGTAAGAACTGTGAAGTATCACGCTGATCCTCACGGCGGATTCTTCGCCTACGTCCACAATTCCGACGGAAACAATCACGAGGGTGGTTCTTACGGTGGACATGGAGGATCAGAAGGACACAGCGGATACTACTAAGGAGAATTCATCGAAGCGCTGTCGCCCTTGGATAACATTGAAACCTCGTTACTCGGTGGTAATTAGCCTTGGTACATTTAATCGAGTTACATAGAAATGGCGCGTTGGGACCAAAGAAAATTGGAGAAGTGTCTTACACACACACACACACACACCTACGTTACTCCTAAATTATCTTTGTTCTTGTTGTTCTTGTTGTTATTATTCTAACTATTAAATACACTGTTGTACGGTAGAATGTGTTTCGCCTCCGTTTTATTCCTCCATTCGGTACACCCCCGATGTATTTCTCTCCGAACAATGGCTTTTATCACCGGCAGAATTTCCAGCTGAAACTGAACAAACGAAATCTACACACTCGTGTACACGCTCGCGTGTGCACGCTTGTGAAAAATATGATGACCGTAACAATCAGAGAGTATCGCCGCAATAAAGTTATCACCGTCGAGGAGAAAATACCGGGGAGACTCGCGATATTTTTATCGACCTCTTACACACAAACTAAGGACTGGCCTCCTCTGTAAATCGTCCGATGCACGGATGCGTTCCCAACGCGAAGGTGTCGTCGCCTCTCGTCGTTATCCAGCCACTCGAGAAGCTCCTGATTATTACTTCGACCTTTCACCGAGTCACGAAGTAATTTGGAAAATTCGAGTAGCTCCTCGTCGAATCGTTGTGTACCCTTTGAGAGAAATAGGTCCCCTAAAACGGTGGTCTGAATACATTTTCGAGAATCGATCGAACCGCCTGATGACCAGGTGCTTCCAATTCCCATTAACCTAGAAAAATGAAATCTTAATGAACGCGATTCGTCCATCTTTTTTCTATTAATGTTTAACGAGTCCTGAGCTTGCAACAAGAGCTGCACATGCGATTCGTGTCACGATCGCGTAACCCGCCTCGATTGATCGTAATTATCGTGTAATCCGACTTGATTTCGACACTTAAACAACACAATTACTCGGAGAGAGACCAGCAGCGCTCGCGCGGAATAAATAAATGAACGGATTGCGTGCATATAGGGTTAACTTAATAAAGGAAAGAGGAGCCGGTCTAAGCCTAGCTCGACACACATGGTCACGTATTTCAGCCGAGGGATACTGTGACAATCTCTGTCCACAGTGTAGGCCGGCGGAAATTAATTTTCATCTGTGACTCCGAAACCCTGATCCGCGTAATCTTCCGTTTGTGGGAATTATTGCGAAATAATCGCCTGAAACCTTGCAATTTTTTTCAAATATTTCTCTGCCTACACTTTACACTCTCCAGGCTAGCACACTTGAAGATATAGTTGTGCCGTTGATGTGAAAGGATTGAAACCAGGATGGTAATTATGTGACGGTTTTTTGAACTTGACAGGATATTACGGTAATACGAAGATGTAAGGAAAGATATTTATTCCGAGGAACGGCGAGAAAGATGCTGTAACCTCTTTTAATCTCTCGCCGGATTACGTGTTAAATCAAGCTGCTCCCCGTTCTATCATGACTTTCCCAGCCAGAGATATTAGCCGGCGTAATTGCTTTCCCAGCGAAACGCTTAAGGTTACTTAACAACATTGTCGAAAACCGCGGACAATTTATACGAGAGTGTATCTCCAGCAAGAATTTTTGCTATCTTATTAAAATCGAAAACAACACTAGAAACGCGTTACTAACGACAACGTTACAAGCTTACTGCTACGTAGATTTTCCCAGCTCGTCACCGGTGTTACACACCATTACGTTACTCCTGCGAACTTTCCCTTGTTCAGTTTCGCTCCTCGTTTACTCAACGTGATAAATGAAATCTCACGGATTCTCTCGCCAGAAGAAACAGAGAATTTCGACAGGCACAGCAACCGAGAGGGTAATTTCATCGAGAGGGGTTGCGTTATTCTAGCGAGCGGGTGTTATCGTGGTGGCCAGCTTTTCTTCCAGTCTGCTCCTTCCGTCGAGCGGGAAAGAGAAGGAGAGAGAGAGAGAGAGCGATTGGGGTGTCGAAGGGTAAACCGGAAGGCACGAGCACCACCGTGAACAGCAGTAACAGAGGCAACACCCATCCAGAGAGTGGCTCTGTCAAGCGTGGCCACAATCAGGCGTCGGCCAAAGGGGGTTGGGACCGGTTGTCGGAAACAGGCGGCGGCAATAATGCGCGATGGACGTGATAGGGTGCGATCGATTTTCTCGATCTCGAGAGAATGGAGTCCTTATTATTCCGGCGAGAAGCCGCCACTCCGGGGTAGCTTCGTTATTCGATTCGAGGCAGTGGTCGCTTCGAATCTACTCTTCGCCACTCCTCCCCTCCCCAACCCTTCCACTACCGTCGACTCTTCTATTCTCGCTTTTCTTCTTCTTTTCTGTTCTTCAGCCTACTTCGGTGTTGGTGAAAATTCAATTCGCGCTGGCGCGGCGCGGTGCGTTGCATGGAAAATAAGAGGATAGGACATTGAATTGGCGCTACGTAACGAAGCTATTCGCGCCGCGGGCTATCCGGGAACAGGCCTTAAGTGAAACGCGATAGTCGAAATACGTAAACGAGTCCCACTGATGTTTACGATTCTGCCAACAAAATTGCGAACAAATAGTCCGAGGTTGTTTTCCAAATATTTCTATGTACTCTATTCTGGGAATATCTTTCTCGTATCTTCGAATTAGGTGGACAAATTTATTACGGTACCCCCTACGCTCTCTGTCATTAGAGAGACAGACTAACTTCTCGCTAGTCCTCGTCAAAGATCCTGTTACTATACAGGGTGTCCAATTTGTTTCCGATCAAACTTTGACAGTGCATTCTATGGGTGTAAGTGAGAAAAAAATGTCGTATAAACATAGGCCGTTTGAAGTTTGGTTAAAAAGTTATAAGAGAAATACGGTTATAATATATACAGTGCGGTTATAATTTTTTAACGAAGCTTCAAACGACCTATGTTTGTATAACATTTTTTTCTTATTTATACCCATAGAACACACTGGCAAAGTTTGATCGGAAAAAATTTGGCCACCCGGTATGTACAACTTCTAACCCGAGACCAAGGCACGGGTCTCTCGAGTAGCCTTACTGACCAGTCTACCAGGAGGCTAAAAACGAAACGCATTTTTCTTTACCTTTCTTTTTCTGTCTATACTCTCCCTATTTATCTTCTCCTTCCATCACTGAATTACAAAAGAAGAAGATCTGCGTCTCCACTATGTACATATAGTTCTACGAAGGAAATGAAAGTTCCTCGCTGTATCGTAAGATGGTATTCAGACCGTGGATCGATGGACTGATTCGTAACAAACTGAGAATTGCTTCGACTCGTTAATTCTTAACGTTCACTTTGTCACATCTTACTTAATTCAACATTTCGCTTTACTTAGCGGCGAAGGTGAATCGACTGACCCCTAGGGGGGTAATTAAAAGTTTAGTGTACTTTGAATGGCTAGCCAGTGGTGGCTTAATGGAATTTATAATAGTCCTTTTTCCCTCGCACTTTAAATTTCAACGAAATTTCCCCATGTCGCGTCTAGGTATCTATCGAACGATTCAAACAGCTGTTTAACTTAAAATTTCCTCTTGGAATCGATCCTCCTTCGCGTGCAAGACGGGCACAGAGTGTGCTACGGAGCGGGCGGTGCAAACAATTCATCTCGCCGTTTGGCGAAAATAAATCCTCACGTGAAAGAAACTCGGGGAACTCGTTGACCGATCGTTATCTTTGACAGGAAATTCACGACGAACTAGTTTAGAAGTTTCATTCGATCAGGAAGGGGACAAAGTGTATCCGTGACGCAAAAGAAAGTCGCTTCCTTTCGCTCGAAAAGCTTCCCGTCCGGTAAACATATTTACATAGAAGCACCGTGAAAAGCGTTCGAAGCGTTCTCCCCTAGACTTTATAACACCGGCAGATTTACAAATTAGAAAGTTCACCGATCGTAGAGACTTTCGGCACGTATATATACCCACGTGTGTACGTATAAGTTCGCCACTTCCATCCCTCCTGATTAATGTCAGAATGATTCAATAAAAGCCTGGGAGAAACCGCCGAACTGTTGGCTTGCGATTTCCTACAACGATTATTATTTGTAGGAAGTTAGATTGCACGCGACCGACTTCCCACCAACTTCCCCGTAATTTTATCTTCCGGAAAATGTCGGAACGATAATGAATAGTAACGTTCGCACCGACTATTTGCCCTTTCAACATCCTAATCGGCTCTCGCCAATGCCTCCGCCCTCCTCTCCCGAACCACTCTTTCGCAGCTTTTATAAGGTGTCTTTATCGGAAGATTCGCGGAGAATGGCGCGTCATTATCGACATGCTTCAGGAAGCGGGCAAGACTCGAGGCTTATCGCCTGCTGCCAGCCTAACTCGTTCTCATTTAACTTTCGTAATATACTCGTCGTCGTCGGCAGGGCAGCGGGAGGTTCGAAGCGTGTCTCGCGCACTTTCCAATCGTCCCACCAACTTTTCGCGAACCGTAACTGACTTCGAGCTGCGCGATTCCTCTTTAATATTACCACTTCGATCTGAATATCCTCACGAACGGATCGGCGAATGGCAATTTTATCACTGCTCTATTATTCGCCGATCATCTTCTTCGACGACTTCTCGCTTTCGTCCGAAGGTAACACGCTTAACTGCCCCCGCGAATCCGACCCCGTTTCGTCGTTTCCAATGGAAATGAAACAAACTCGAAGAGTTCAGACCGAACGTGACATCGTCTGTTAGGTCTTCTTTCGTATCGTTCATGCAGAGTGTAGATTTCCTGAAAATAACAAACGATACCACCAGGATTCTGATTAAACGTCAAGAATCCCTGAAACCGATCGATCATATCGGAACAAAGTGATCGTCGCCGCCGCGGTGGATAGCTCGCGGAGACATGTTTTATTGAAAAATTCGAATGAAAATGTTAGGAAGAAGCAATCGAGGTCGTACACGGATTGATGAATTCTATACTTATTGACGAATCTGTTTTTCCGGGCCAGGATAAAGGATCGTCTCCTACTTCCACGAGAGATCACGACCCCGCTCCC